TCCTCCTCCTCCTCCTCCTCCTTCTTCTTCTTCTTCTTCTTCTTCTTGTTCGTCTTCGTCTTCTTCTTCTCCTCCTCCTCCTCCTCCTCCTCCTCCTTCTTATTCTTCTTCTTCTTTTTCTTCGTCGTTGTCGTCCTCATCATCAGCGGCGTCTCCTTCTTCATTTTCATTTTCTTTTTGTTCATTTCATCTTCTTCTTCTTCTTCTTCTTGTTCGTCTTCGTCTTCTTCTTCTCCTCCTCCTCCTCCTCCTCCTTCTTATTCTTCTTCTTCGTCGTTGTTGTCCTCGTCATCAGCAGCGTCTCCTTCTTCATTTTCATTTTCTTTTTGTTCATCATCTTCTTCTTCTTCTTCTTCTTCTTCTTCTTCTTCTTCTTCTTCTTCTTCTCCATCTTCCTTGGGTCACTAGCAGATATTTAGCTGGAGAAAGATACTGGTATTATATACCTTCTTTACTGTGGATTATCTAGTAGAGCAGCACTCATTTAGCTATGTTTCTCCTTCACTCCAATTTTGTTATGTTCAATGCTGTGTTCAGTCCATCTCCACTATATTAGACATCTTGACCGTAACCCTGGCACGGGAGGCTAAACAGGTGCTATGCCTTGCCTAAGGACAACTTGCAGCTAGGGAGGCAAAGGAAGCTTATCTCCTCACTAGTGACAAAGTCACTTCCTTCTCAAAGCGAACTAGGATAAAGTGCCTTGTTCATTGCCAAATTTAGTCCCAAAATATGGCAACACGTACAAGATTGTAGCTAGGTACATATATAACCGTTATATATCACGCACATATTTATATATATCCGTACACTGTATATACCCTTGTAGCTAGGACATGAATATTGTAATTGCGGGGAGTACAGTTGCGCACGACGCATGCCCTACGTATCGCGCCCGCCCTAACGTCAACGACGTCATTCAACCTATGCGATTGTGCCAGGGTAAACCTGCGAGCCGGACACCCCAACCCTAACTCCCACGCTCGTGGGAGGGGGGAGGTGCGATTTCCCATGCTCTGACCAGCCAAGGTGTTGTCTCACCCCCCTGGCACACGCGAACGTAAACCGATCCTGACCCACCCCCGTGCTGAGAGGTAGCAGTTTGCCCCCTCCATCCGTTAACATTTAGTTACAAGTAAACACCAATATATATCATGGAATCAGGTATCATCTTGGTTGGGTAGTCTTCGTCTGAGGGCCAGCAAGGTTGATGTGACGGTGAGTCATGAGGTTGCATGCAACTGGTATTAGAACCAAGCAATACTCTTCATTCTTCTTGACTGGTGACGAAATTCCGTCCATTGAGGTTCCCACTCGAAAGCTTATGTTCCGGATTGGTCCAAGATGGCATTTCAAGCCGTGTAGTGAGTCATAGATAGATCTGCCTCCATATGATGTAAGCTGGCAATGGTGTGAATCGGCTTCTGAGAAGTGTAGACGCTATACTTGTATTTCCACCCTGAAAAAAGAAACAGCCAGCAGTAACACCAATTCCAAAAGTAACAGGAAAAAGCGATGTACCGATCTCGAGGTTTTAACATTACCTCTCCTACATTTACTGTGAGAGCAGCTGCGTGGCCTCGTGTTACGGAAACGGAGATAGGCACCATCCTATGTGCCACATAGGCCTGTACATATATTACCCGTGCGTATATCACAAATGTGTACTAACTTACACGCAAACATTTCGACGTTGGGGCATGTGAAACTTCTCACAAGCCATCGAGACGAGCTGATTTGACATATGCAGGAGTCCGTGTGACTCCCTAAAAATTCTGCCACACCAACTAGTTACGAGCGGCGATATTTTGAGCGCCATTTCTGTTGACCTGTGACGTACGCATTCCCAATGCGCATAGCATTCGGCTAACTTCGGCTCCTGGGTTGCCTGACATGCTGACTCTGGTGACGTCATGACTGACAGCAGGCATCCCATGATGCATTCGATCTTGGAGCCGAAGTTAGCCGAACGCTATGCGCATTGGGAATGCGTACGTCACAGGTCAACAGAAATGGCGCTCAAAATATCGCTGCTCGTCGCTTCAAAATTTTGTAACAGGTTATATTAGTTCAATACAGAGTATTGTGATACATAGTACGTCCCAGGATAGCGGAGAAAGGTTCGTGTTTAGAATAAACCCAGTTTGGAAGTTCTAACTTCTAGTTCTAGTCTCGAAAAACGCACCATAAAACCGCCCTGAGTGAATCACTCAGAGACTCCTCCAAAGAAAGGATAGGCTCGCGTTGTAACCCTACTCTTGTTGGGTTACATTATTGTATCTAATTAGTGACGTACCTACTACATAGTACATAGTCATAACATAGCCATAGGCTTACAATGCTATCGCGCTGCAACGCAATTGCCTGAGCAGGTGTCATGCATTACCTAGTGCTACTGCTAACTTCATCATAAGGCTACGAAGAATGCTTACCTCGTAAATGTGGAATGTTTTAAGTCTCTCTACTTTCCATACCGAGTGTTGTGGAGCTGAAAATAGGTATAAAACATTCTGTGCCGCTTCAAAACAAAAATCACACAATGAACGCCATTTGCAAGTTTTGCATCTGCATCTGCAAGAGTGATGAAGCGCCATCTCTAGGTTCATATATGAATTGAATGATAGACTGCGATCTCACGCAACCTGAAATGTTTTCTAACTTCTGTAACAGTAAATGTATTGCAGACATCTAAGCAAAGATTGTTAAGCTTGTGTGTATAGCCTAGTGGTTCAATGGCTATGCTGCAAGCTATGAAGGTTCGTGGTTCGAATCTGAGTAATTTCTTTGCTAAAAATCCATCTGGGTTATTCCAAATATGCGCACTTTATAACTATTTTTAACACTAGATGGCGCTCGAATGTAACCTTTACTCTGCCTTTAACGTATAATTTCCTAATGCTATTACATGGTAGCGTAATTCATGCACCATCTAGCGCATCACTATATCTCCCTGAAATCTATTAACTATTATTTATTTGTAATTTATTACTATGTAAATGATAGCATTTCGAATCGCAAGCTCTCTTTAGTGCATTTTTCCTAGATGGGTATCGTCATGATTTCCATACAGCCACACTTGGAACTGCACACTACGCCACGTAAAACGACGGCGGCACCCATCTAGAGTACCAATGGAAGACGGAAAGCGGTGTTTGCACATTGCATAAATCATTCTGATCTCTGTGATCAAGCTTAGTCTAATCAAACATCTATTGTAACTTACCAGGCGTTTAAATCGCATTTGCATTCGATGTAACAAAACGCTCGACACAAACACAACCGCTATTAATTCGAAACTCTTGCGTGGCACCCAGACGCAGGAGATTCGTGACGTGAACACAATGCGTTATAATAACAATGCGTCGCGCAAGCAATAGTGCCCGCTCAGGTGGGCACTATTGCTTCATAGTACCTGCTGCGTTATCCAATAGAATTTCAACAATTTATCACGATTTTGGGATATCCCAGGGGAGTCCCATGAAGGGAATTCCTTAACTTAAAAATAAATTAGCTAATAAAAATTCGCTGTTTCCCTTTTATAGTATACATTTTAAATTAAATATATTTTAAATTAAATATATATAGGATGAAAGAAAGAAGATGCGCGCCTGGCGAGAAATAGATTTTTTTTTATTTCCGCGGCTGTCGAGTTTCGAACTCCCGACCCCTAACGTATGAGGCAAGCGTGCTACAACTGCGCCACAACGGAAGCTGGCAACGACGCGTACTACTTTGGTTAATGGCTTCGATACACCGGTATGCTATTTTAGCCAGTGTTAAATAAAACGGCTTCAAATTCAACTTTATCCTGTTTTCATCATTGCAAAAGTGCGCCAATATTATTCTATGAGTGGTAATGCATCGTTTACAGTTAAGCAATTTCAAATCATGCGAGCAGATTCAGAGAACATAGCTTCATAGCGCAAGCTGTCAACAACACGTACTACAATGGTAGTGACGTCGATCGATATACCGGTCTGATATCGGTACACCAGTGTTAAATGAAACGGCTTCAAATTCAACTTTATCGTGTTTTCATCGTTGAAAAAGTGCGCCAATATTACTCTATGAGTGGTAATGCTGAGAGGGTCTATGTCCCAAGAGGTACTGCCGGAACGTACCCTGGTACTATCTAATATGCCGGACCGTACCTCGCCTACTCCACTAACGAGTCTAGGGAGTCGCCTACGCCTACTCAATTCAATTTCAATTCAAAAAAATTATTTATCACCACAATTAGCAAAGATACAATGATACAGAAAACATTAATGTGAGGGGTGAAGGGGTAGCGGAAGACCATAGGGTCATCGAATCAGCTATCCCTTTATATGTACAGTAGACATAATATTGAGCACTAGATATTCGTGGTATTGCAAATTAGGAAAAGTTGAGATAAATTTGCAAATAGAAGTAGTAATGTTGCAGTATATACAGTGATAACAAACAAGAACAGTAATCAGTTTACAGTAATGTAGGCTACCATAAATAATTTCGTACA